TTTGGGTAATCAATGTCTGTGTTGCCCATCCCTGCCAACCCTGTATACCGAGGGGGTGGGAGTGATCCTCGCTGTAAAGATTTGTTCCCTTTTTTGAGCTATTACATCCATAAGTATAGGTAAAGTTCATCAAATTGTAGCAGGTTACTCTTTTTATTTTCTTCTTCTTGATTCTTCTGGTCAAGTTCTGATCGTCCAGCCATCAAAGCCAGGTCAAGTGGGTACTATCTGCAAGTATGGGTATACTTGTGCATCTCCCCTCACTTCATATCAGCTGGACGCTTCACTCCCTGCTCTAGTCTTCTGTGGCCATGTCACTGCCTCTGGGCCCAGGAGTCTTGCCAAGGGTCTTGCCATATGGCTGGCCATTCTGGTCTTCACCTAGGTTCACAGGGGTCTGTCTATTGAATGTGATTGGACTTAGCTAGCAACTTCATTGCTGTTTTTTCCCATTCTTCCCTTATGAGTAACCAATGTGGTCACCAGCCAGACTACATGCCTACTCATGTATTCCCCTTGAGTCTCAGTCTTGGAAGGGGGTTTGCTCTGAGAGGTCCCTACCATTTGCCTTGATGGTTCCCAGGCTAACATCTTACTTGTTCTTGTAGTAATCAATCAGACTGTCATTATTGTTTCACATTTTTCCTGCCGGTCTTTCTTTCCTGAAATATTTTCTGTTCTTCTAACCACTCTAGGCTGGTCTACTCATCCTTTCCTGTGGAAATTCCCTACCTCAGTCGGTTCTGGGTGGGATTCTGGATTCCACCTATGGTCTTGTGCAATGTAAAGGCTCCACAGGAAGCCTCTCTCACTGGGCAACTTCTAACCCCCTTTAAGGTATTCCAATCAGTTATAGGCTGAAGAAGGACTTACAAACTTTCTGTAGTGATGATTCTGGCTATTCCTTTCTCCCCACCTCAAGTGTCTATTTTACAATGGTAGGCAAGGGAAACCAAGATTCAAAAGACAGCCAAGCATCTTAACACTCTTCCCCTCTTTTACCCCTTCAAACCGTGCCTCAATCCCTGTATCCCAGAGCCCTGTTGTTCCAAGGTTGTGCATATATCATCATTTACCTCTGTCCCACTTAGCCCATGCAAACCTGCCTCACTGTTCTCCCATCAGCCTTGTTCTTCCATCCCTCCCCGCTTCTTGTGTATTGCCCCCGGCACCACCCTCCCACACCCAAGCTATTCTGTGTCTATTCCTTACCCTGTGCTCTATCTTCTCCTTCCTCCCTCCCCTCTTCTCATCCCATGCATCCTGATAATCAACAAATACACATATATTTTTCCTCCCTTTTAGTGTGAGCTGTTTGTCTTACTCTTTTACAATAATGGTCCTATGCAGTATTTCTCCTTTTGTGACTGACTAATTTCACTCAACATAATGTCCTCAAGGTTCATCCATGTTATGTGGTGGCTTGCAGCTTTCTTGTTGTTCTTCAAGGTAGCATAGTATTCCATTGTGTGTATGTATCACAGTTTGTTTATCCATTCTTCCATTGATGGGCACTTAGGGTGTCTCCATCTTTTTGCTATTGTAAATAGTGCTGCTATGAACATTGGTGTGCATATATCTACTCGTGTTATGGCTAGTCTTACTTGTGGGCATATACCAACTAGAGGAATTTCTGGATCATAAGGTATTTCTATTCCCAACCTATTGAGGAAGTGCCATATTGCTTTCCAAAGAGGCTGGACCATTTTGCAATTCCACCAGCAGTGTAGAAGCATCCCAGTCTCTCCACATCCCCGCCAGCATTTATTGTCCTCTACTTTTTTGATCATTGCTGCTGTTGCTAATGTGAGATGATATCTCATTGTTGTTTTGATTTGCATCTCTCTAATGGCTAGTGATCGTGAACATTTATTTCTTCATGTGTTTGTTGGCTGCCCGGATCTCTTCCTTGGTGAAGTGTCTGTTGTTCATGTCCTGTGCCCATTTTTATTTGACTTATTTTCTTTTTCTTGCAGAAGTGTTATAGTTTCTTACATATTTTAGAAATGAGTCCCTTGTCTGATGTGCTGTTGCAAAAGGTTTTTTCCCATTCTGTGGGTTCCTTTTTACTCTTTTGGTGAAGTCTTTTGTTTTGCACATAAGTTTTAAATTTTTTGTTGTTATTGGTAAGTGCCATAAAGTTAATTCCAACCCATAGCAACCCTGTATAGGGTATCCAAGGAGAAGCTGGTGAGCTTGAACTGCCGACCTTGCAATTCAAACAGATTTGCAGTCTGGTGCATTAACCCACAGCACTACACCAGGACTCCTGGTGTGAAGCACCACACCAGGACTCTTTGGGTGAAGACTTTTCATGCACATATGTTTTAAATTTTTTAGTATGCCCCAATCATCTGTTTTGTTTACTTTTGTTTGTGTTATTTTCTAAATGTTTGGTAGTCTGTGTATTCTCTGAATTAGAACTCTCACATTTGTCCCTATTTTTTCATTGATGACTTTCATTACTTTGGAATTCACATTTAGATCTTTAATCCATGCTGATTTTTGTATAGGGTGTGAGGTAAAGGTCTTGTTTCAAACTTTTTCATATCATTTTCCAGTTGTGCCAGCACCATCTGTTAAAGAGACTATCTCCTCCCCATGTAACATACCTAGGCACTTTGTTGACCATCAATTGGATGTGTGTGGATGGGCTAATGTCTGGATTCTCGACTCTGTTCCATTGATCAATGCATCTTTCATTGTACCAGTACCAGGCTGTTTTGACCACTGTAGCAGTGTAATAGATTTTGAAATCGGGGAGTGAGAGGTTTCCAACCTTGTTCTTCTTCTTGGGCAGTGTTTTGCTTATCCTGGGTCTCTTTCCTTTCCATATAAAGTTTGTAATTGTCTTTTCTATCTCTTTGAAGAATGTCACTGGAATCTGGAATGGGATTGCATTATATATGTATATTGCTTTGGGTAGTATTGGAATTTTCATGATGTTTAGTCTTCCTATCCAGTGACTGAGAGCTGGTGGCCAGGAGGGCAGACTTGCAGAACATGCCCTTTGGTGGTGTAAACTATTATATATGCCTGAGTGTTTTTTGTTTTTTAAAGAAGAGCAAAAGTGAATAGAGATAAATACTGTTAACTGATGGTACATGGAGGGGATTATAATCATTGTAATGAAATGAGGTGTATGATTTGTTGAATATAAAACTGATGATCTGCCCTGTAAACTTTCACTCAGTTCACAATAAAAACTTTTTTTTTAAAAAAAAAGAGAGAGTGAGAGAGACTGGAAGCAGAGAAAATATAGTTAAAATGGGTTTCAGAGCGAATGAGCGTTAACTTCTGAAAGAAGGGAAGTAGGTAAAGTGGTATGAAAAACAACAAGACAAAACCAAAGTTTGCTTCCTGTTTTCATAACTACGTCTTCTATTAGATTGATTTCGCTAATATTGGCTATTGTTTTTAAATTAAGAGTTTTACGTAATCATTTGTTAATAGACTCATAGTCTTCAAAATACTTTAGAAATAAATGGCCCTTCTATATTCAGAGTCACTTTCATTCTGGGTCCTGGTTCTGTCCCTAATGGAGTGGTTAGCTGGAAAGTATTTCCTGTTCACAATTCAAATTCTATGGACACATATGCATGAGAGTAAGTAGGGTGTAGATAGAAATAGCATGGAGCATTGATACCTGAAAGAAATGAAGCCTGTTATAATTTTGAAGAAGCTCTTATTCAATTACCCAAAACTTAATTATTTGTATCAAGGATTTTCAACTCACAAAAGGAATGCAAAAACAATGGGCTTTGTGTGTGAGTCATTTACAAACGCTTATTCTCTTCCTTCCTCTCCTTTGCTACTCAGGAGCTAGGCCCCAACTGCAGCTCCCTTCCTTTCTTCCTCCCTCTCTTTCTTCCTTCCTTCTTTCAGTTCTCTCTCCCTTCCTCCCTCTCTCTCACCTCTTCTAGCAGAAAGGACACACTTACATTGGAATAGGAACTGTGCAAGTGAGGGAAATTTAATGACTTACTTGAACTATTTTCAAGGCTAAATGGTAAGTAGTTATCGCTAGAGGATGTACTGATCAGGAAATCATTGCTGTAGCAGGATTAAGAGTTTAAAATCCAGGTTAGGAGTGAAGGTTGCTAAGATTGAATTTGCAACATTGATCATACAAAATATCTGACTAGTGTAAATATCTTCACTATATGAACATGGCATGGATTATATTTATTGGGATGCTTTCTAAAAAATGTCTTTTGAAAATAACTAACATATCACAGAGTACCCTTTCTGGTTGATAGACAATGTAGTCAAATAAATTCTGGGAGGTGGGGTAGGTCTGTTCATCAAAGTGCAAAATCTAATTATTTTCTTTAGAATGTTTGCAAAAATTTAAAGATCTTAAATGCATTTTTCCATGCAGTTTTTCAAAAAAGCTGGTTAGATCAGGAAACAAATGGAGAAAGTATGTGTTAGGGTCTCCTGTAGAAAGCTTGAAGAATGGATTTTCATTTCTAATAGCATTCGAGGAAGGAATGCTATTCCTGCTCACCTAAGTTTGCTTACTAAGAGGAGGAGAAGATAAATTGTAAGTGCCTCTAGACAAGCCAACCATTGTTAAAGCCTATGGGTTTTAACTTAAATTGTTTTAAAATCATTCAAAAACAAATGGATGGAGCAGTCTTTTTACTTTACAATGGCTTCAAGACTTCTGGTGGTGGGGAAAGAGGTGGAAGTTTTCAAAACCGTGTCCTCAGGGTTGCAGAAAAGAGTTTCCATTTGACCCACTTGCTGATGTACTGAATGCCCCTTAGTATATAATTTTACAATAATTTAAAATCCCACACAGCTATTTTAAAGATAAAAAAAAGACTCATATCACTTTATTTTTAAAAGCCCTAATACGTCTCAGTTACATTTAGCTACATTACAAAGAACAATGGAAATAGCACCTGTAAAGACTCTTGCCCGCTTTATGTTTCTTATTATGTATGTCTTTCTTCGCTAAATAAACACAACAGAGTTCTCCCTCTCTCTCCAGTTTACTGGGTCAGCAGCGGCTTAATTTTCATACGGACAGCCCTGAGGGAATAATCTGCCCCTCTGAAGGGAATCCAGACCACACCATTCTCAATCTCATAAGGACTGTTGACCCTAGGGTCATAGGAGCCCCCAGAGTAGTAGATGCCATTGAGATTGGCAGCTTGGCAATTGTTGTACCACCAGCCTCCTCCGTAGACTTCTGCACAGTTCTCTTCCCACTGGTCTGCATCCCTGTCAAAGGTGCTGAACTGCATGCCTGCGTGAGAGGTATACTCCGGCCCTTCCTCAGCAGAACCCTCAACTAGAGCATCGCCGGCTGTGCCCTCATAGGAGGACACATGAAGGGCATAGCCTTCAGTCTCAGGTCCCACCCGGAAGAGATATTCTGCATATGTCTTATTTCCGGCCCAGTCCTCTAATTCAACCCGAAGGACAGAGTCCTTCAGGGTTAGTATGTGGAGGTATTCATTGCCTAGCCAGAATTCTCCTTCTCCCTTTTCATTCAGGCTGCCGAAACCTTTCTTGTAGTCTTGCCAGGTCCGGTTAAAATTCAATGATCCATCCATTCTTTGCTGAATCAAAAGCCATCCTCCCAAACTGGTCTCTTGATCGCAATAAACAGAAAAAATCTTACTGGATCCCGGTAGCTTGATATTGAAAATGCCACTTTTGGCACCTGAAGGATGTGTTTGGAGGACATCATCACAGTCTAAAAAAAAAATTGAGCTGGTTGGAAGACGTTACTCTCATTGAATTTTACAAAAATAGGCATGGCCCAGATTAAAGGTAAGCAGATATTGGCTTCCTTTTCTTTTTTCCTTCCTTCCTTCCTTCCCTCCTTCCCTGGGGAAAAGATGTGTTTACATTGAGATAGAGCCCATCCTACTACAAAAGAGGGAATTTTCCTCAGTGGAACTGGAATTTCACTTGCACATAAAGCAAATAAACAGTAAAGATATGTAACCAGGATATGTAACTTGTCTTTAACCTGACCTAAATGCCATCTGAGACCACAATACTAAAATCCTGATGGACAAAATGGGTGACAATTGCAACAGTGCACATTTTGAATGGTGAATAAATTTGGTTAAACAAACTCGAAATCGAGTTTCAGAAAGATTCATTCATTTATTTAACAAGTATTTATTGAGTACTGTTCTCTGCATTGTTAGGCATTTGGGAATACAGAGATGAGTATGATAGACAAAGCCCCTGCCCTCATGGAACTTACAGTCTAGCAACAAAACCAGAGGAATAAAGGTGTCATTTCAATAGATTGTGTAGAGAATTTGCAGGGGTGGGTGAAATGCAAGATGCTATGGGAGCACATTGCAGGACTGACTTAGTCTAGGGGGTCAGGGAAGGCTCCCCCAAAGGAGAAGTATGGATACCTCTTGTCTCTCGAGTTTTACTATGGCTTCTTATGGTGTGTTCATGTCCACCTTCGTCTGCCATTCCATAGGTCTTGATTTCAAATGTAGAGCCTCCTCTGCTGGAAGTTGAACTACTGGTTGTCATTTTTTTGCTCTGACTTGAAGTTTTACCACTGGTGGGGAACTCAGATGTCCCAAACTCTGTGTCAGATGTGTCCTTACTTCCAAACTCTCTTAATGTTGGTGACAATAATTCTGAGAATGCTTTTCTTGTTGAGTCCGTGTTAAAGAAAGCAGCCTCTCCGGGTTGCCTAAGAAAAAAATCCTCCAGTTTACCTCTGCCAGTTGAACTATGAAACATGTCTAAGTCGGTGGCATCCCCACAATCAGAACCATCTTCTGAGTTCACCACCTCTTTGGTCACTTCTTTGCGACCATCCTTACCTATGACTGTCTTAGTAATGGTTTTAGAGCATGAATGGCTAGTGGTAGTTGTGCTACCAGACTGGCGTGTGGTGGCTGTGCTACCAGACTGGCGTGAGGTGGCTGTGCTACCAGAACGGCGTGTGGTGCCTGCGCTACCAGAAACAACCCTCTCATCACCAATCAGGAGTTCTTTATTGCCTTTAGAACTGATCATTTTACTGGTGTGGAATTCTTTCTCTGTCCCTGGATTTATACTTCCTGGTCGTTCATCAAATACACCCCAGTTTGGGTTGGTAGGCCTGGTATTCCCATGCTCTGAGCTATCTGGCCTAGGATTTACAAATCTAGTGTTCCAAATACTAGAATGTTCCGTTTCAAAGCTCCCAGAGTTCTGAGTGCCAGTGCTCCCAGGATTCCGAGGTCCAGTGCTCCCAGGATTCCAAGGTCCAGTGCTCTCAGGATTCCAAGGTCCAGTGCTCCCAGGATTTCGAGGTTCAGTGCTCCCAGGATTCCAAGGTCCAGTGCTTCCAGGATTCCGAGGTCCAGTGCTCCCAGGATTCCAAGGTCCAGTGCTACTAGGTCCAGAGTTCCTGGAGCTTTCAGGTTCTAAACTTGGTCCATAAGATGTAGTGTCTCCTCCTTCTCTACCAGGGCGCTCTAACTCCATTTTCATCTGCTTGGTTTCCACTAGTGCCCTCCACTCTGGAGGGGCCTTCTGAAGCTGACTTTTTAAATCTCCAGGAATAAAGTCTGTAAGTGGGGTCATTTTTATTATTGGCAAGTATTGCGTATCTCTAGAGGGAAGCAACTGTTTGGCAATGACCTGTTCAAGTTGCCTCTGTTGATCTTCATAGTCCTTTAGATCTACCTCACGAGCTAAAGACCTGCTACATGACCCTTTGCAAGATCGGATCTTAATATCGATGTCCACCTAGAATGAAGAGGAGAAAAGTAAACAGAAAAGATAGATATAAATAAATGAATTATACATACTGAGTTCCTAGTAGTTAGCTTAAATTTTGTAAACTGGCTTCATTTCCTTGATTTGAAGACCAACTAGCTAATACTGATCTTTTTCCATTTATGTAGCTGGTAGCGTAGTGGTTACGAATCAGGCTGTGAACCGCAAGGTCAACAGTTCGAAACTACAAGTGGTTCCGCGGGAGAAAGATGAGGCGTTCTGCTCCCGTAAAGATTTACAGCCTCGGAAACCCTGTGCAGGGTCGCTATGAGTCGGAACCGACTCCACGGCACTTAACAACAACAACAAAGTATACTCAGTAGAAGAGAGGTTGGGTATTGGCATCCTTGTTCCTTGTGAGCCCAGTCATAACAAATAATGAGAATTGCTTTAAATTCATTTTAAATATAGAATGGAAAGAGAGTAAAGTGTCGATCCTTCTAAATTGAAACTGAGGCTGAAGACTCAGAGGCATGATGGTGTCCTGTGCAGAATAAGAGCTTTGCAATCATGCAGAAAGAAACTCAATATCATCTTTTGAAATTTACTATACCTGGGCCCTTAGAAAATTTACTTAATTATCTCTGACCTTGTTTCTGCAGAGTAGGGAAAATAATGCCTATTTTATAGGTAGATAAAGGAGTTCTGGATGGTGCAAATGACTACTAATAAAAAGTTTGGTGACTCAACTTCAGAGGAAACAAAGTTAAGGCTTTAAGTACCGTGAGACCGGGATCCTTTCGTCATATATTATTGTTGTTGTTGTGTGCCGTCGAGTCGGTTCTGACCCATAGCGACCCTGGATAGGGTTTCTGAGGCTGTAAATCTTTACGGTAGCAGAAAGCCTCATCTTTCTCCCATGGAACTACTGGTAGTTTCTAACTGCTGACCTTGAGTTTTGCAGCCTGATTCGTAATCACTACGCTACCAGAGCTCCTTTCATCATATATTAGGTCCCATGAAATCTTGAGGCAACAAGAGATTCCTACTACTTGCCTAAACATACAGCTTAAATTACATTTAAGTTCAGAAAGGTTACAGCCTTAAAAATCCTAAGAGCAGTTCTACTCTGCATGTGTGAAGTTATCATCTACTTGATGACAACTTAAAACAACAGCAGTGAATACAACACTTAGCTCTGCATACTATGTTGTTGTTGTTAAGTGTCCATCTAGTGGGTTCTAACTCATAGTGACCCGTGTATAGGATTTTCAAGTAGCAGCTAGTGGGTTTGAACCACCAACCTAGCAGTTAGCAGTCCAGTGCTTATCTTACAGCACCACACCAGGACTCCCTGCATATAATAGGTATTCAATAAATGAGCGTTGCCTTCCTTTTTCTTGCTATTCAAAATTAAGGGAATCTGGCATCAGAGTTACATTTTTACCTCTAGTCGTTTCATTTCAATCAACTGAAGCTTGACGTTTTTCTGCAGAAGTTGGATACGTTGCACTTGCTCTATGACTTTACGCTTCAGGACCTCAATTTTGCTTCTTAGATCTTCTGATGCTCGATTATATATATTATCATTGTCTGAAATAGGAGATACAGGTTATGAAGTAGCTGCTGAGAGTTTTGTTTGCTTATAATAACCAGGAAAAAGGAAACCTGCTTATAAAGATTCCCCATTTTATTTTGATTATCATCTTTATGGATACTGAATTTGTGGAATCCATGCCTAGTAGACATTTAATTTTTGTGCAGTATTATGTCCTGTTGTCATCAATGCATGCCACATAAGATGCCTCATTAGCAATTGCCAGCCCAAATAAATAAAGAAGAAGGAATTTCTTTGGAATTTTGAACATATAATTAGGGAATAAAATGATCAATGCCATCACATTGCAAATAAGTCATGTCCTTAATCAAAGAGCTTCAACTTATTGAATTATTGAAGAGTTTTTGTTCCCATCTATAGTCCTGGCATGGCATTATAGGATTGGCGGTTCAAACTCGCCAATCACTCCTCGGAACCCCTATATAGTGTTGCTATGATTTGGAACCAAATATGGTGGGCACTCAACAACAATAGATTTGAAGTAGTTCCTGAACTTTAATAGGGTCAACAGGATCACTTCCTTGACAGCTAATGCTGAATCAGTGACTTCAAAGTATTCAAGTATCTCCTAAGGATACAATTTTTCCTTTTTTTTTAGTGAAAATCACTGATTTAAAAATTAATTTAGGCCTTCTTTTAAATGCTTTATACTGGTTTGCCTTTCTGTTGTCCAAGATGGGGAGTCTCATTTTTTTCTCTAGAGAATTAAAGCAAGGATTCGGGAATTGGGACCTCACTAAACTTACTGCCCTGAGCAAATCTGATGCTTCTTATTCCTATGTCCATCTTTGGGGTGGTTGGGAATAGAGGGTAGGGGTATCAGCAAATTTCTCCAAATGGCTCTATATTTTAAATACAAAAATATTTATTTAGTCAGCCATGTGGTCACTGTGGGCTCAAACTCCAGCTCCATTGCATGGCAATTTTGTGTCTTTGGGAAATCCTTTAATCTCTCAGCTTCCTCCCCTACAAGATGGGAACCAAAACATATGTTCAAAGGGTCTTAGTCCATTTCATTTTCAGTATATTCTCTTGAATATATATAATCAATATTCGATATATATATATATTCAGAATATATACATGTATATATGCTAGGGTCCAAAATTCTGACTTGCTTTGTGACCTTAAATGATTTAAAACTAAGCTTTTTGTGTTATAAAAAATAACAAAAACAAGGTCTTCCTTAAAATTCAGAGACAAATGTTTCTATACTGAGTGTTTTGAAACTAAATCTCAGTAGCTATAAGGAGACATACTTATTTAGGATTTTTGATGTTGTTGTTTGCTATAAATCCATATTAAATAGGTAATACTTACTACTGGCAGAAACTAAGTCCCCTCTCAGAAGTTCCATTATATTCCTGGTCACTGAACTAGAATCCTTATTGTTCTTCTGGTAATCAAATAGTGAATTTTTGAGCTTATTGATTCTGTTTGTAAAATCTTGATTAACTTCGTCAATCAACCCTTTCATTCTACAGCCAGAAGGACATTTGAGGTTCTGAAGGTAAAAAGGAAAAGTTATAAGATTCAGAACATGTTTGCAGATTGACTTGCAGCTCCTGTTGTTTCCCTCCTCCATCTCTTCAGATCATCTATTGGCTTAAAAGTGGTTACTAGGACAGGTTAGAGCTCGCATACAAACTCTGGAATGAAGGCCCACTGAATCAGATATTAATCCATGCCATCAAGTTGCTTCTGACTCACAACAGCCCTATAGAACAAAGTAGAACTTCCCTGTAGGGTTTCCAAAGTGCTGGTATGGCACTATGGGTTAATGTGCAAGGTTAGTTTGAATCACAAAGTCAGTGGTTCAAGCCCACCAGCTTATCTTCAGCAACCCTAAACAGGGTCGCTATTAGTTGGAACCGACTTGACTGCACTTAACAACAACAATAGCAATCTTTATGATATGGCGTTATAGGATAAGCGCTGGTACTGCTAATCACAGAATTGGAAGTTCAAACCCACCAGCAGCTCCTTGGAAATCCTTTACAGGGTCGCCATGAGTCAGAACCAAGTCGATGGCAAATAACAACATATCTTTATGGAAGCAGACTCCCACATCTTCCTTCCTCAGAGTAAATGGTGAGTTAGAACAGGCCAAGAGCCCATCTTTTAGCTATCACATGTGTGCTTTAACCACTGCACCACCAGGGCTCTTTTCATCATATATTAGGTCCCATGAAATGTTGAAGTTACAATAGATTCCTACTACTCGCCTAAACATACAACTTAAATTCAGTTTATTAATCCCACTAAGGATTCAGAATTCGGGAGGTAGGCATAATTTTTAGCAATTCAAACAGTACCCTTGTGACTAGAATTCTTCTCTTGGGAAAGGTTATTGTGACTAACTGCTCTCTGAGCACTTTTAACATTGTAGGGAAGAGACTCTCCTCACCCTGCCCCCCTTGCTTACCCAGTCTTCATCAGAGCAGAAGGGCCAGTCTGTCTCTTTGCAGGCAGACTGGTGTCTTTCTACAATTCTTGGACCACGAACACCTCCTCCTTCAGCTAGAAATTCACCTTCATCTGCAGTCTTTAAAGATTCAAACACAGACACACACCAGAATGAGAGAGAGAGCTTGAGCAGGGTCAGTCAGCTAAGGAGACAACACCGGCATGTCTAACCACAGAAGAACTGTGACTCTTAATGACTAAGAACACCCTCCACCCACCATAAACTTTGGGCTTCTCATCTTTCAAATGTAAATCTTAATACCCATACATGAAAATTAAATAAGATAAAATATACAAATTTCTTAACTGTGCTTGATGAGCATAATAAACACTACACATTTTAAAGAACCCATTATAAAAGGAAAATTATTTGAATAAACAAAACTTGGTCAGTTTTATCTTTGCATTTTCATTAGAATCTGGTGATAGAAAAATGTTAGAACATTAAAGAGGAAAAAACCCACACTACCTAGTTTAATTTCCCTCTTTCCTTCAAACCATGACCTTTACAGATGAGTCAATAATTTGGGAAAGAAATGCTTTTTTAGGTTATTCACTTATGCAATGATTGTTTTTTGTTTGAAATGTAAAAATTCATCTAAAAATGAAATAATAGTTCATGAATGACAACTTACAAATATCTTACAATTAGAAATATAGGTTTAAAATATTTCTCTTGTGTTACATAAAGTAAAATAAGATATATAATAATTCTAACAATACTTTATATTCTAATGAATGAATGTGAATGTTGTGTTAACTATTTTTATTCTCTATCACCAACATAAAAAGCATTGCATGAGTATTTTAATCCAGAATAGTTTAGTCTTATAATTGATTAACATTTGTAGCCTTGTTCACACTTTATATATATACAAACAATAATAATTCAAGAAATAAAGAATAATTTATTTAAAGAAATAAATATAATCCTCTTATATAATAAATAAAATAAGAACTTCAATCATATTTCAAAATAAATGGTACAATAACAATAATTGGCATAAACTCCAATGTCTATAACTGCTAAGGGAGAAAGGTAAAATAACTGAAACCTATGCATCTGGAGTCCTGGTGTGGCACTGTGGGTTAATGCTCTGGATTGCAAGGCCAGGTTGAACTGTGAGGTTGGTGGTTCAAGCTCACCAGCTGCTCCTTGGAAACCCTATACAGGGTCCCTATGAATCGGAACCAACTCCACAACGCTTAAAAACAACAACAATGTATAATTCATAATAACACGCACAAAATTTATGAAAGTTTATATTTATTATTTTACAATAAAGTAGAAAATTAGCAAACCTTCTCTAGCTTTTCTGTTTACTTTCTGATACTAGGGTTTATGAATAATGAAACCAAGAAATAAATTATGATTAATATCCTAGACAAATAACCAGGAGGTAGTTGAATTTCTTGAATGTATTTACCATGGTTTAGAAGGCTCTTTCTTTTATATAATTCTCTGGTATCAAATTATAGAACTTATTGCAAAATTAGAAATTTCTTAGAATAATGTATCTGCTTCCAAAATAATCATATTGCTTTATCAATTTATCTCTTCTGGTAGTATGAGCCCTGGACTGCTAACCCCAAAGTCAGCAGTTCAAAACCCTCAACAGCATACAACAACAACAACAACAGCATGTTTTTGAAGATAACCTTTTTTTTGTCTAGAAAAAAAAAACAAAAAAAAAAACATATAAACAAGTATTCTGAAAGGCTATATTAAAACCAATTGTTCTGCTTATTATGGGAAAATTTCAAAAAAATAAGAATTACAGGAAGACATTCTTCTCATAAGAATGTTTAGTTTCTGTTAACTAGCATTATAATAGCATTGTTGTTGTTGTTGTTAGGTGCCATCGAGTTCATACGACTTAAACCATTAAATACCATTTAAATCCCTAAGATGTCAGAGCATGGCAAAGGTTTCAGGGCTTCAAACAGGTTCAAATTGGTTCAGTCATGGCTAATGCAACAAAATTGGAACAGATGTGAGTTTATAAAGTGTGGATGTACCAGAGCGAGAACCAAAATGGGAGAATTTATAGGTTGAAGCTCTGGAATGGAAAACTCGGAAGAGGTGTAGTAAGCACATTTATGAGCTTAATTCAGGAGATTGAATTATTGCCAGCATTGTGGAGAGCTACACACATTCAAAGCTGTGAGGCTGTCCACCATCTTGTTTCCGACTGTGCCAGTCAACAGACTTAGTCATCATGCAGTGCATATTGTTGTTTGTTATCAAGTGGCGTCAAGTCAGTTCTGACACATAGCAACCCTATATAAGGTTTCCGAGGAGTGGTTGGTGGATTAGAACCATCAACCTTGTGGTTTACACTCCAGTGTCATCCTATAGCGCCATGCCAAGAGTCCTTGAAATGTGCTTACTGCCTTTGTTTTCTAAAAGGGAGATTAAGCTTCTAGTAGGTGTCAACCCACATTTTTTCTGTTCTAATATACCAACATTTCAAAAATTGGGGTCCTTTGTCAATATGTTAGCCATGACTAAACCCAGAGGAGACAGTTTGAAGCCCTGAAATATTAAATATATATATTATGAAACTGAATTATAGATGTAAAAGCATCCCTTCTGAATTCAAACCCTTTGGTGTTATATTATCCTGTATTCTTGAGATGTCAAAGCCATCTAGGAATTTACTTTGATGAACTAGAGATTATAAAGTTGAGTGTATCCAGACAGAGGCAAGGTGGACTCAGGTTGAAAGCTCTTTTTGCAATAAATGCCAGAAAGAAAGGAAGAAGGAAAAAATAAAGGCATCATACCCAGACAGTGCCCACCACACTCAGGAACAAGCAGAAGATTCTCATGGAAACCATCTTTTCTGAGGGTGGGACTGGCTCATGAGCAACACTCCAGCTGAAAGAAAAGAGGTTTGCCTTCACTCCTGGTACCCATCCTATTTAAATCTGCAGGAGGTTTAGTTAATCATTACTTTTGTCCTATTTAGAAGATAAATACACACTCTATATCTCATGCTCCTTCTATGAGGTGGTGTCCCAAAAAATTCTTGCTCAATTCCCCCTGTGCTTGTTTGCTTCCGATAAGCTGTTACAAAGGTAACATTTAATTCTCCAACCAGCAATTAGCGGAAGACCCCACATTCCAGGAACAGGGTTATTTTGAAAATACAAAGAAGAAAATAGGGAGACTTATTCATACCTCAGTAGCTGAGGCAAGCTAACCCACTGTGAAGTAGAATTAGCAAATGATATTGTACTTAATGTAGAAATTATGAATTGGATATCTTGCTTAAAAATAACTGTGGTAATGAGAATCCAGAAATTAACCCACCCACATATAGCCAACTGATTTTCAACAAAGTGCCTAGGTATGTTACATGGGGAGGAGATAGTCTCTTTAACAGATGGTGCTGGCAGAACTGGAAAGCGATAGCAAAAGATTAAAACAAGACCTTTACCTCGCATCCTACACAAAAACCAACTCAGCATGGATTAAAGACCTAAATGTGAAACCCAATGAAGTTCATCAACGAAAAAATAGGGGCAAATGTGAGGGCTCTAGTACAGGGAATACACAGACTACAAAACATTTTGAAAATTACACAAACGAAAGTAGACAAAATAGATGATTGGTACATACTAAATATTAAAAACTTATGTGCACCAAAAGACTTCACCAAAAAGGGAACCCACAGAATGGGAAAAAATATTTTGCAATGATACATCAGAAAAGAGACTTATTTCTAAAATATATAGGAAACTACAACACCTCTACAAGAAAAAGAAAAATAACCCAATTAAAAAATGGACACAGGACATAAACAGACACTTCACCAAGGAAGAGATCTGGGCAGCCAACAAACATATGAAGAAATGTTCACTATCACTAGCCATTAGAGAGATGCCAATCAAAACAACAATGAGATATCATCTCACACCAGCAATAACAGCAAAGATCAAAAAAGTAGAGGACAATAAATGCTGGCAGGGATGTGGAGAGACTGGGACACTACTGCATTGCTGGTGGGATTGCTAAATGGTCCAGCCTCTCTGGAAAGCAATATGGCGCTTCCTCAGAAGGTTGGAAATTGAAAAACCATATGATCCAGCAATTCCTCTACTTGGTATTTACCCACAAGAAATTCAAGCCACAACACAAGTAGATATATGCACACTAATCAGCACTATTTACAATAACGAAAAGATGAAGACAACCTAAGTGCCAATCAATGGTATGGATAAACAAACTGTGGTACATACACACAATGGAATACTATGCTACCTTGAAGAACAAAAAGGAGGCTGCAAGACACCACATAACATGGATGAACCTTGAGGACATTATGCTGAGTGAAATTAGTCAGTCACAAAAGGAGAAATACCGCATAGGACCATTATTGTAAAAGGGTAAGAAAAAGAACCCACACTAAAAGGGGGAACAAAATATATATATATTTGGTGATCACCAGGATGTATGGGATGAGAGGAGAGGAGGGAGGGAGGGTAAGGAATAGACACAGGATAGCTTGAGTGTGGGGGGGCAGCAGGAGGGGTAATACACAATAAGGGGGAGAGGAATGGAAAAACAAGGCTGATGGGAGAACAGTTAGGCAGGTTCTCATGGGCTAAGTGGGACAGAGGTAAATGATTGTGTATGCACAACCTTGGAACAACAGGGCTCTGGGATACAGGGATTGAGGCACGGTTTGAAGGGGTAAAAGAGCGGAAGAGTGTTAAGATGCTTGGCTGTCTTTTGAATCTTGTTTTCCCTTGCCTACCATTGTAAAAAAGACACTTGAGCGGGGAAGGGGGGAAGTGGGGGGTGGAGGAATAACCAGAATCATCACTACAGAAAGCTTGTAAGTCTGTCTTCAGCCTACAACTGACTGGAATACCTTAAAGGGGGTTAGAAGTTACCCAGTGAGAGAAGCTTCCTGTGGAGCCTTTACATTGCACAAGACCATAGGTGGAATCCAGAATCCCATCCAGAACTGACTGAGGTAGGAAATTTCCACTGAAAAGGACAAGTAGACCAGCCTAGAGTGGCCAGAAGAACAGAAGATACTTCAGGAAAGAAAGACCGGCAGGAAAAATCTGAAACAATAACGACAGTCTGATTCATTACTACAAGAATAAGTAAGCTGTGTTAGCCTGGGAGCCATCAAGGCAAGTGGTAGGGACCTCTAAGATCAAAACCCCTTCCAAGGCTGAGATTCAAAGGTAATACATGAACAGGCATGTGGTCTGGCTGGTGACGATGTTGGTAACCAATAAGGGCAAGAGGACAAAAAACAGCAATGAAGTTGCGAACTAAGTCTGACCACATCCAATAGACAACCGTGAATTCTGGTGGATACCTGGATGGCCAACAGTATGGCAAGACCTGGGGCCAGAGGCAGTGACATGACCACAGAGGACTGGAGTGGAGAGTGAAGCGTCCAGCTGATATGAAGTGAGGGGAGATGTACAAGCACCTGTACTTGCTGATAGTACCCACTTGACCTGGCTTCTATGACTGGATGATCAGAACTCGACTAGAAGAAGAAAGAAGAGGGGGGAAAAAAGAGTAACCTACTACAATTTGATGAATTTTACCTATACTTACGCATGTAGTAGCTCAAAAAAGGGAACAAATCTTTACAACAAAGATCACTCCTACCCCCTGGTACACAGTGTTGACAGGGATGGGCAACATAGACATTGGCTATCCAAAATGGGGGCAGGGGGATATAAAGGCAAGAAGTGACTGGCTTACAAGCTTTCAAGAGGGAGCCTAGTTCCAGACAGGTCGGGGGAAGGTAGAATCACCACTGAATGATTTCCAATTCGTTGGGACCTGGCTGGCGAAAGGAAATGGGGATAAGACTCTTGTGGTACAATAGTGAATAATTGCCATCACTACTGACTGTGAGGCTAGGGAATATAGAGGTAGGTGTTTTTTGACAAAAGGAGTAGAGTGATTGATTTTGCAGCCCAGGAGTGGAGGTCCCTGGGACCATCAAGTGAGAAGAGCAGAGAGCAGGACTCTAACCCCGAGAGGCAGTGATGCGAAGGATGGAGACAGAGATGGTCACATGGACAGATGGAGCAACTGGGGACACTGGACTCAGGGAGGAAGAAGGGCTGTGTGCTGGAGGCCAGGAGGGCAGGCCTGTGTGGTGTACCCTTTGTGGTTATTTGATGTTTCATGGAGGAGATTGTGATCATTGCAGTGAAATGAGATATGACGGGATGCGTGTGGAACTGATGTTCTCCAATGTAAACCTCACAATAAAAACTTAAAATAAAAAACACTAAAAAAGAAAAAATAAATAATAACTGTGGTGATACACTAAAGGCCTTCTAAACATTTACCTTTAGCAGACTAGTTTCTTCTATGTGAAATAATTAAGACAACATTCCCTGGAGCCATCTTCTCACCAATGCAGTTTTCAATTTTCTTAAACATCTTTACAATAAGTCTCAGTCATCACGCTATATCCTTCAAGAAAATCTGTCTAGACTACCCATTCAGAATCCTAAACAAATACACCATTACCTTCTGCCTTGAATTAAATTGGTCCAACAGAGCTCATCAGAAGCTACTGTTCTAATTGTACCTCTATTTTAAGAAACCCTAATGAGCTCACCAGTTGCTCTTCGGAACTCTATACAGAGTCACTATGGGTCAGAACCAACTCTACAGCACTTAACAAAAACAACGAGACTAAGGCAAATAAATTACTGAGAGAATTTGTATGCAGTCATCTACTGATCAGAGATTATGTTTAAACATTGTTTTGTTTGGAATAAACCCCTACATCAACTGGAACCCTGGTAGCAGTATTTCCTGACTTACTCTTGTATGTGTATGTTTATGTGTACATATATAATGTTATTTTTGTTACATCCCATCTAGTAGATTCCCACTCATAGTGATCCTATAAAGGGTTTCCAAGGGGTGGTTGGTAGATTTGAACAACCAACTTTGCAGCTACCAGTCCAGTGCTTATCCTAATGTTCTTGTCCTTGTTCTGTGCTGTTCAGTTGGTTCCAACTCATGGCGACCCTGTAAAGGGTTTCTGAGGAGTGGTTAGTGAGGTTTGAACTACTACCCATGCAGTTCAAATCGACTTAGCGATCCAGTGCATTATTCTGCAGCACCACACCAGGACTCTTCCTATCCTGATGATGTTGTTAGGTGCCATCGACTTGATACCAACTCTTATCCTAGTAGGAGCCACCAAAATGACAGCTTTCATTGTTCCTAGATGGTCACAATGCTCCCAAATAAAAACTTCACGGGTTCCTTCAAACCAAAATTCTCTAACCAGTGCCTTTATTGGGTAAGATCTTGGCCAAGTAATGCAGCCTTGGCTTTCTTCCCCATAAACCTGTTGTGTTATAAACTGGTATGGAGCAGATATGGTTTCATATAGAAAGCCACATAATACAAAGAGTATCTATTTTTTGTTTCTTCTCAAATTAAGAAAAAACAGCTGCAAATATCCACTAATAGTCAGAATATGTAATATGCAAAGTACGAATCTAGGAAAATTGAAAGTTGTCAAAAATGAAATGGGGTATATAAACATTGATATCCTACACATCAGGAAGCTGATATGTACAGGGATTGGCCATTTAAAAATCTCACAATCATATGGTTTACTATGCCAGAAATGATAAATTGAAGACGAACAGGGCTACATTCATTGTCAAAAATAACATTTTAAGTTCTCTCTTGAAGTACAGTGCTGTCTGTGATTGGATAATATCCATATGTCTACAAGGAAGACCAATTAAAATACTATTATTCAAACTTACACACCAAACATTAAAATCAGTGGTGACAAAATTTAAGAAATTCTTCAGTCTGAAATCAATCCAATATGTATTGGTCCAGTGGCGGCAAGGTTTTTTTTTTTTTTTTTT